CAAAAGGTGAGCGTGACATAGCATAGCAGAGAGTGCAGCAACGTGTCTTTTCATGGTAAAGGTATCATGAAAAGGGGCCTACTGTAAGTCTTTGTATTCACACATTGGTCAAGACCCTGTTGCACACACCCAGCTGCAGAGCGCTGCAGCCTTTTGCCAACGGCCTAAGTGGTTGCATATCTAGTTAGCCTAATATTGCCGATTGGGCCAAGGTCTAACGACATTTATAGGCCAATGGTTACCATGTGCCCTTTTCTACAAAACGGGACACTGCCATTTTGCCTGATTGGTGTGCTTCTTTGAGGCGGTCTACACGGCCGTCTTCTTTTCGGGCATCGGCATGCAGTTTTTAACCACGCTCTATACCACGATATATCAGATGAGGCTTTGGGCGGGAGAGCCGGCGAACACAGGAGTGCGGAACGGGACTGTAAAGTGGAAACTAACGGTATGTCTCTACATGTATCGGCATATATTGCCCATAAACGAAATCATTCCGACCTGTCAGGTCCAGCCGTTTCCAAGCAGATGCATGGCAACTCGGAAGTTCACACGGCGGGGGCAGACACGTTTGAGAGACGACCTGAGAGCGCCGCGATGCCCTTGTTGAGAGGTTTGTGAGCCAAAAGGTGGTTGACACTCCGCGGATTCCGCGTGCGGTCGAGAACCCGACCGTTGACGTGTCCCAGACGAATTCTCTAAGTTCAGAATTATCCCTCCCAATGGTTTGCGTTTGTGGGTTTGCGTTGCAAAAAGTACTTGTGACACTCGCTTTTTGGAGCCTCTGCGGAGGAGAGACCTGCCGACCCAAAAGGTATGAAGTGCTTGAAAGCTGAGGATCGGGAATTGGTGCGAATGGTTTTTTAGCTGTGGCAAGCTTTTGGTGCTGAACCTATTAGGTGCAGTAACTGAAGGGCCGTCGAGCTGCTAGAGCAATCGAAGACCCACATCAATGGGACTGACAAGGAAATTTAGTGCACTTCGGAGCAAGGATCACAGAAAGACACCTGAAGTAAGGATCATGCTTTCTTAGGGGCTCAAAGGAAACAATCCTCCTGGGCAATATTCAAAAGAACGTTTGCCAATGAGACCCTTTGCGATTCACACATTGGATTGGGCCACCGGCCGCACCCAAGCCCCAAACCTGACTCACCTAAATGAAACTCATCAAGTAGGGCAGTTGGGAGCGGATGCATTTTCCAAATTAGATTGTCAAGAATTATTGTAGAGCTTGTCCATCACATCAGGCTGCGACAGAATGACAAAGTCGAGTTGAATGGAGGGACAGATTCTTGGTGATGTGCCTTTTGGACATCGATTCCGGGGAAGGCGTAAAAGCTGTGCTTCGGAGGTGTCGTGTCGACCCTCAAGGGCTTGCCGATTATTTTGCATCCCCGGAAAGGGGTGCAGCCACTTGGGCAGCGAATTGCTTCGAAATGATCGATGAATTGCTTCGCCTTCATCCTTTTCGTTGAATGAACATGTGCTATCGGAGTATATAGTGAGATAAGTGGGCAGACTGGCAATTCAGCTGTATTCTATCTGAGATGTTTCTGCATGCTTTGGCGCCATGATCCCAAGAAAAGAATGCTGCGTTGTCAAGCTACAGGTGTGCAAAACAAGCCGATCACATGTTATATAGATTCCAGTGTTGTTCTCTGAATTTCTTGCACTACACTTGATCAACCCGCAGTATTTGAACACTCTCATTCATTTACCATCACCCTTAACTAGGCCCTTGCGCTCGGGCGAAGGTCGACAAAGAAGCGACCGGCTAAGGACGGTCCGTAGGTCGGCCTGGCGCTCTGAGGCCTTTCGCGGCCTTTAAGGCGAAAGGCAGACGCATGTTTGCAGTAGGCGCGAACGAGATCAGTCAGAGATCAAACAAGAACGAACCAGAAAACGATATGTCTTCTAGATATTGCTTAGACTCATGGTGCTTATTGTCCTTTGCGGATTGTACATGCCAATATGCTGGTGTTGATGGGGAGAGTGCTGTTGGTAGCCACAAGCATATTTGGTGAGTGACAGGGTTGGCTTAGACTTGACACATGAGTAGCTGCCCGAATTGGCGCGCAATCTGAAAGTAGGTTGGCTTTGGCTTCTTCTGACATCACCAGGGACATGTCACAGTGGTGGCATCGCGCTTTAGCAGTTTTCGATGGAACTGTTTGACCTTTCATCTCTTTCAGGTTGGCCCAACAAGGTCATGTACAACTGGGAGCGGGATCGCAGCAAAAAGATGGGGCGTGACCCTTAGGTTTTGACACGTGGGCCAGCCGTTTGTGTAGAATCGAGGCGAATTCGGATGTTCGTTTGCTATGCCTGTTAAACCAGCATAACTTTGTAGCGTTTAAACCACGGGACAACTCGACATTGGTGCTAGGCCCAGCACAAATCCATCGATTGAGTTCGTCGACTTTGACACCCTCGAGAGTGTTCAGACATAGATTGAGGATGATTGAGGCTACTAGGTTGGAGACCATCGCTATTAGGAGCAAGGACGCTACTAGGGTCTCCTGGCCATAC